GAAGGAGGAAGAGGAAACGGAGGAGGAAGAAGAGGAGGAAGGGAAGAAGAGGAGGAGGAGGGGGGAAGAGAGGATTAATGTAAGACAGGGGGTATGGATGGTAAGAGGGGGAATAGATCAATAAGAGGAAGAAAAATGAACCGAAGGAGGAATGAAAGAATGAGGAGAGGGAGGGAGGGAGGGAGGGGAGGGAGGGAGGGAGGGAGGAGGGAGGGAGGGAGGGAGGGAGGGAGGAGGGAGGAGGAGAATGTCAAGTCAGGTTGTGTAGTGAGGGTAATGGAGGTGTCACGTCGATGTACACGGATGGTGGACTTATCCCTCCTCCTCCCTCCGTCCCTCCCTCCTCCTACCACGCTCCTTCTCCCTCCTGCCACCTCCCTCCTCCTACCCCCGCTCCCTCCTACCACCCCCTCTCTCCCTCCTACCACTCCTTCTCTCCCTCCTACCACGCTCCCTCACTCCCTCCCTCCACCACGCTCCCTTCCCCTTCCTACCACGCTCCTCACCCTCCCTCTACCCACGCTCCTTCCTCCCTACCACGCTCCCACTCACCACGCTCCTTCCCTCCCTCCTCCTCACTCCCTCCTCCCACCACGCTCCCTCCACTCCTCCCTCACCACGCTCCCTCCCTCCCTCCCTACCACGCTCCTTCTCTCCCTCCTACCACACCACGCCTCCTCCTCCCTCCTACCACTCCCTCCCTCCTCTCCTCCACTCCCTCCCCTCCCTGTATTTCCCTTCCTCCCTCCCTCATTTTAACCAGTCTTTCTTCCTCCACCCTGCCTTCCCCCTCCCTTTTACAACGCTCCCTTCCTTCCTCCATCACACTCCCTCCCTCGCCACCATACCACCCCCACGCTGCTCTCCCTCCCTCCCTGCCTTTTACTTAGTGTCTGTACCTGTCCTTCCCTCGTGAGGAGATAACATTTGAGTCCTGCAACCGGCACCAGGTCTTCCCACACGAGGAAATAACATTATTATCGCCGTATCTTGACCCCTGTGTCTCTATGCCTCACCTCAAGAGATGATTTATTATTATTATTATTATTATTATTATTATTATTATTATTATTATTAATTATTCCCAGTCTTCTGCACCTCTCCCTCACTAGAAACTATCCTATTATTATAACGTTGGCTCCTACACGTCGCCTCCCCTCACGAGTGGCGCGGGAGATGAAGGCACAACAACTCACGTTAATGACTCGAGCTTCATATAATGCTACGGAACTTGAGCAGAAAGAGGGAGCTGATGCAAATGGCCTCGTTATCTACCGCACCAGTAGTAGTTAATTACACCACCAGGAACCCTAATGACTAAACTTGGAGATGCTGACGAGCTGTGAGAGAGAAGAGAGAGGGAGGAGGATATCTCTTTCTCTCTCTCTCTCTAGCTGTCACACACACACACACACTGACCCGTACAAGAGGAAGCAGCCATAACACGGGCAGTAAACAGTCGTGGTGAGCGCACACGACGACATGCCTGGGGGTCCACCTGACCCCACCAGGATGTATGGTACACGCACACTACCCCTGGCGAGGAAGACCCTGGAGAGGGAGATACAGGGAGAGGGAGATTCTAGGGAGAGAGAGTCAAGTACTATACGCCGTGGGAGGGAGAGAGCCAGGGAACGGGAGAGCCAGGACGACGCAGGGAGGTAGAGGAGCGGGAAGTGATGGTAGTGCAGTATGGTGAAGGAGAGGGACAATAGACCCAGATTTTCAGAGGTTCGTATGATACATCTTCCTCCTTGATGGAGATGGGGGAGAGGGCGTAAGGTGCTGCGGGGCTGTCCATGTGTCTGTTTGTTCGTAATCTTCCTCTTGTCCGGAATATAACCCATATTATGATGAACCCTCACAGTAACGTGTACCAGCACTGGACGGAGTGTAATTCACCAGTTCAAGTGTGTGTGTGTGTGTGTGTGTGTGTGTGTGTGTGTGTGTGTGTGTGTGTGTTAAAGGTGAAAGTCACAGCTGAGATTCAGAAGTTATATTTACCAAGAGACATATAGCGTACAGCGGTACTCTTGGTAATCCAAAAAATTCGTGATATATAAAGATGTTAACAAACTGACCACAGGGGTTTGGGGCTCTCGTCGCCAGACACAAAACAGCCATGACTCATCAAGACACAGAGGGAAATAAATTATTATCCACTACATTCAGGATATTGTTGGGTTACATCCACTTAGCAAGTTTCACAAAAATCCTCGTCTAAGTATCGAAGTTCTCCCGTTCAAAAGATGCATGGCGGAGGAACAGCAACTATTCCTATATCCCTATCCCCGCAGGAAGCAGTGGAGGACAAAGGTGCGGCAGCTTGGAATAATATGGTTTTAGGAGCATGATCCTGTGTTATCAACAACTGAGCATCTATAATTCTGTATGCTCTAGCTTATATAGCTCTTGTCTTTAAATCATAAAGTAAGCAAATTACATTATCTTACACAGTCCTCACGATTTAGGAATCAAATACTGTACGGCATTTCTAAAATTTTCGAGTATTAGAAGATTTAAGAGTTGTTATGGCAGCTCAAAGCTTGGGTCCTGAACAGGACAGGTGGACGAAGATCAGTAGCTCGTAATCTTGAACAACGATGTGCCTTCTGATCCTCGGCTGGGCCATCACAGGATGAGGCGGTCGTTAGGTGAACAAGATTAATCGCTTTTCACTCGTCCAAGCTTTTTTCCCGTTATAATGCAAGAGGGTGGGGGAGGATTGAGAGTAAACACACACACACACACACACACAATCCTCCTCCTCCTTCATTCACTATCACTCCTTCATTCTTACCACTGTAATAGAAGAGTACTGCTATAGCGCTCTCTACCCACACACAACAAGTCCCGGAATATCCATCTGCTGTGTCTCCGTCGCCTCACATCAACACCCGCCATCAGCAGCAACTCCTCCAAAAATCACCACTTCGTGCTCTACGGTACCCCAAGGAAGATTATGTTTTACACTTTTTTGTTTTTTGTTTTTTTACAACTGAGATATTTACGACTGGCGGAGGTTTGCTGTTGGTGACATTAGCCTGTGTTACCGGTCTTCTGCCGCTGTAAATCTTACATGTGCTAATAATACTAATTTAAGCTGACATTTCAACAACTATAACTTCCTGGCGCCGAATCCAAAAGATCTTACCACTGGCTTCTTTTTTTTTAATTCACCACGAGGAGTTAAGAAATCGCCCCTAGTTACGGTCAAGTCTCGGTACAATTGTGACCTCATTTTGGCCATCAAGTCTCCCACAGCGTTCTCACATCTCCAGTTAATTAAAAGGAAATACATAAGGTAAGAAACTCTGAGAAACTATCATAAATGCCTCACTTTTCAATGATTAACTCAGATGTAAGAATATTCTCCCATGTATACAACCGCACGAACCTCTCAGAATACATCTTAGCACACATAATAATTGGCAAAGTTAGGGTGTATGTATAAAGTATGGTTGGTCAGTCAGATGGACTGGTTCCCACATCACCAGTTAGGGAGAAAAACTAAACGTAGTATAAGTTGTGAGATTCGTGACCCTGTAGTGTGACGCCTCTCGTAACTCTGCTGTTAATGTGAGGGGGGGAAAATAAGATTGACATTTGTAATTGAGTGTGTTTATGTTATTAGCGGGAGGAGACGAGCCGAGGACGCCCCTATAAATTGGTTGATAATTGTGAAATTGGTCAATTATTGTGTAATAGTTATGTGTGGGGGGAGGACGGGGTAGTGAAAAAGGGGGAGGGAGTTAATAAAAGAGGGGGGAAGAGGTGGTATTGAAAGGGGGGGAAGGGGAGCTCGATGCCTCACAACTTATATTATCGATCTTAATTGATTATTACATCATGGCCACAGATTGTTGACACACCCCCACATGTTGGATACACCTTCCCCACATAGATGACACCTCCCCACACATGTTGACACACCTACACATGTTGATACACCTTCCCACATAGATGACACCTCCCCACATGTTGACACACCACATGTTGATACACCTTCCCCACATAGATGACACCTCCCCACATGTTGACACACCTCCCACATGTTGACACACCTCCTACACATGTTGATACATCTTCCCACATAGATGACACCTCCCCACATGTTGACACACCTCCTCACAGGTTGACCCCCACATGTTGACAGCCGTTTTATCAAAGAAATCGAGAGAGATGAAAAGAGGAAAGGAGAAAAGCGAAAAAAGAAGAAAGCGATAAAAGGATAAAAAGCAAGAGAAAGGGAGAAAAGTAAGAGAAAATTATAAAAAACGAAAGAAAAACAGAATGACAGAAAGACAGAGGAGAAAAAAGACATGGAGACAAAAACGAGAGAGAGAGAGAGAGAGAGAGAGAGAGAGAGAGAGAGAGAGAGATAACCCTTCATTGTATACAACACGGCGTCTTGTCGATACACCATTATTCCCCGTCACTCTGGCTGTGTTTAATTAGTAAACGTTGGTCTCACAGTGTTCCAAGGTGATAAATGGTGGTTATTGTTGATGGTATAGTGATGTGTTAGTCGGCGGTCGTGTATGTATTGTGTCGGGGAGCTATGACTGTATATTTTCAATCGAGAGAGAGAGAAAGAGAGAGAGAGAGAGAGAGAGAGAGAGAGAGAGAGAGAGAGAGAGAGAGAGAGAGAGAGAGAGAGAGAGAGAGAGAGAGAGAGAGAGAGAGAGAGAGAGAGAGAGAGAGAGAGACTAAAAATGCCATAATAATGATAATAATAATAATAATAATAATAATAATAATAATAATAATAAAAGGATCATAGCTGCTCCAGTACGAAACCTTCAACACAGGCTTCCCCGCCGTCCCTCCCTCCCTGATTCACCAATACTATAACTTGTACAAACTACACAGCTTAACCACAAGATGTCACACGAGTTGTACGAAAACATACCAATGAACCCCTGTACATCTCTCTCTCTCTCTCTCTCTCTCTCTCTCTCTCTCTCTCACACACTTCAAAGACAAGTCATTAAACCAACCTTTCAGAGCAGTTCGTTTCTCGGCCCAGCGAACTGTGGTGACGACGGGCGTAGTTGGTGCTGAGTGAGAGGCGGCGGGCGTAGAGTGGGTGGCGGGCGTAGAGTGGGCGGAGGAAGGAGGAGAGTAGTGCGCTGAGGAAGGTGTGGAGTGGGTGGATGAAGTGTCTAAGAGCGATAGGTTGCTCCCACTGGCCATGACACTTCAACACAACACTTCAACATGGTTTCAAAAGTATGCCTCCTGGTCCTTCACTCTTTTTATAACACTCTTCTCACTCGCTGTAACACTTAGTACACGTAATTTCAGTACAGTACTTCCCGTAGCACTTGTTTTCACCTTCTGCAACACTTCCACACTTCCTTTAATGTATCACCACTTCATATAACACTTCGTCACTTCCTTTAATGTATCACCACTTCCTATAACACTTCGTCACTTCCTTTAATGTATCACCACTTCCTATAACACTTCGTCACTTCCTTTAATGTATCACCACTTCCTATAACACTTCGTCACTTCCTTTAATGTATCACCACTTCCTATAACACTTCGTCACTTCCTTTAATGTATCACCACTTCCTATAACACTTCGTCACTTCCTGTAATGCCTCACCACTTCGTCACCTCCCGAAGTTTTCTGGTGGCTCTCCCAGTCGACACGCGTCTCTGAAACACAACACCAGCATTAAATAAACCTGAGTTACGAAAGGTTACATGGGTCAACTTAAGTGAGGTTAATTTAAAGGCTAATTTTAGGTTTAAGATAGGTCAACTTAGGTTAGGTTTGGTTAGGTTAGGTTATTTAGGTTTTAATTATGAAAGGGTTAGGATTTCCTCTGGTCTTCCTTCAATGATGAAAAAAAAACAAAAAAATAAAAAATCTAAAAATTATTCAAGTGAAATTTATTCGTTCATAGCCAACCACACCATACTGATATACTTACCACAGTTAACCACACTACCACAGCCAACCACACTATCACATTCAACCACACTATTACAATCAACCACACTACCACAGTCAACCACACATCTCCTCCCTCCCTTCGTGTGTCTATACATAATTGAATTGAGGGTATCGGGCCGTGTCCTCAACAATAATGTATTTCTTCCTGTTTTACGAGTACCTGTGTGTGTGTTGCTGTAGTGGGTTATGGTGTGGGTGTGGATGTGGGTAAGGACGTGGGTATGGACCGTGGGTGTGGACGTGGATTTGGGCGTGGATGTGGGCGTGGGAGGGTGGACACCACAAGGGGATCAATACGGAAGATTCCTCATAAAAATTTTATATCCCCAAAATTGCCCGAAATTGTAGCCCGATCAATGAACCTCAAATCACGACGAGTGAGAGACGGACGTGAGGGGTGAGAGACAGACGTGAGGGGTGAGAGACGGACGTGAGGGGTGAGAGACAGACGTGAGGGATGAGAGACAGACGTGAGGGATGAGAGACAGAAGGGGTGAGAGACAGACGGGAGGGGTGAGAGACAGACGAGACGGACGAGGGGTGAGAGACAGACGAGGTGAGAGACAGACGATGAGACAGACGTGAGAGACAGACGTGAGGGAGAGACAGACGGAGAGAGACGGGAGGGGTGAGAGACAGACGTGAGGGGGTGAGAGACAGACGTGAGGGGTGAGAGACAGACGTGAGGGTGAGAGACGGACGGAGGGGTGAGAGACGGACGAGAGAGACGACGAGGGGTGAGAGACAGACGTGAGGGGGAGAGACAGACGAGGGGTGAGAGACGGACGTGAGAGAGACAGACGGGAGGGGTGAGAGACGTGAGAGACGGGTGAGAGAGACAGACGTGAGGGGTGAGAGACGTGAGGAGGAGAGACGGACGTGAGGGGTGAGAGACGGACGTGAGGGGTGAGACAGAGAGAGACAGACGTGAGGGGGGGAGAGAGACGGAGGGGTGAGAGGACAGACGAGGGGTGAGAGACGGACGTGAGGGTGAGAGACAGACGTGAGGGGTGAGAGACAGACGAGGGACGTGAGGGGTGAGAGACAGACGTGAGGGGGTGAGAGACAGACGTGAGGGGTGAGAGACGGACGTGAGGGGTGAGAGGGTGAGAGACGGACGTGAGGGGTGAGAGACAGACGTGACGAGGGGTGAGAGACGGACGAGACAGACGGAGGGGTGAGAGACAGACGGGAGGGGTGAGAGACGGACGTGAGGGGAGAGACAGACGTGAGGGGGAGAGAGACAGACGTGAGGGGTGAGAGACGGACGTGAGGGGGTGAGAGACGGACGTGAGGGTGAGAGACAGACATGAGAGGTGAGAGACGGACGTGAGGGGTGAGAGACAGACGTGAGGGGATGAGAGACAGAGAGGTGAGAGACAGACGGAGGGGTGAGAGACAGACGAGGGTGAGAGACAGATGAGGGATGAGAGACAGACAGACGGACGTGAGAGAGAGACGTGAGGGGTGAGAGACGGACGAGGGGTGAGAGACGGACGATGAGAGACGGACGTGAGGGGTGAGAGACGGACATGAGGGGTGAGAGACGGACGGGAGGGAGAGAGACGGACGAGGGATGAGAGACAGACGATGACAGACGGGATGAGAGACAGACGTGAGGGATGAGAGACAGACGGAGGGGTGAGAGACGGACGTGAGGGATGAGAGACGGACGTGAGGGGTGAGAGACAGACGAGGGGATGAGAGACGAGACGAGGGTGAGAGAGACAGAGACGAGGGATGAGAGACAGACGAGGGATGAGAGACAGACGAGGGGTGAGAGACAGACGAGGGGTGAGAGACAGACGTGAGGGATGAGAGACAGACGGAGGGGATGAGAGACAGACGTGAGGGGTGAGAGACAGACAGAGACAGATGAGGGGTGAGAGACAGACGAGGGGTGAGAGACGGACGTGAGGGGTGAGAGGGATGAGAGACGAGACGAGGGGTGAGAGACAGACGTGAGGGATGAGAGACAGACGTGAGGGGTGAGACAGACGTGGGTGACAGACGGAAGATGAGAGACAGACGAGGGGTGAGAGACAGTGAAATAGGAGTAAGTTTGTACACACAAACACACATTATTATGTGAACTGAATTTACTATGACTGGTGGAGCGTGGTTAATAATGGCGGAGAATTTGTTTTTCAAAGGTATTGTGTGTGTGTGTGTGTGTGTGTGTGTGTTTTATGAAAGCATCCAGTAGAGTTTGAGGAATGCATATATACAGAAGACACTATACAAGCTGCTACTGTACTTCTACGTCAAGCATATAAACACACAAAGGCCAGTCTGACTTTTACACACACACACACACACACACACACACACACACACACACACACACACACACACACACACACACCTTATTAAAAATATTATAGAACATTTACGTAAAACTTTCAGTATACAAATGTGTGTACGTATAAAATATCTCCTTATCACTATAAACGTATGGTGATATTTACACTGAGAATTACTGATAAATTTTTCCTTTTTTACGCCAGTCAAGAAGCAGGTCACCTTCTAACCACCGCTGTACGCTAGTAATGTGACTATAGTGCCCAAGACAGTATATAAGTAATTAAGTAAATGAATAAGTAGATCAATAAATGAGCACTTTGGCAATAGATTCAGCGTAATAAATAGACCATTAGTCATATGGTGCAGAAACCTTGCCTGCAGCTGTACAGACACCCTTTAGTCAGAGTAGTAGTAGTAGTAGTAGTAGTAGTAGTAGTAGTAGTATCACGTTTATCTTCACGTTGTTATTGTGGTGATCGGTAAACCATTATGTTATGTCTTCCATCATAGAATATTAATTTCCTTCATTTTCTTTTATTTATTTATTATATGTGGTGAGACAAGAGATTAATGTAGTCATCATATCACCGTTTATAATGTTACTAGTTGTCAGAGTGGTTGGTCTGTTCCTCGTTACGAGTTTATGACCTTTCCTGTCCAGTATTTGAACGTAAAATATTAAAGATACTGTATATGCACATGCGAAATTAATTACCGTAAATGAAAAATCAAACTTCATTCAGCGGTACGAGAAATATTTTGGTTAAGTTCTTGAATCACGAGAAGTGGCTGAAGATTATCAAGGGGCCTCAGGTGTCTACTTCAGGTGTCTCAGAACATCCTTATATTGCACTTAACACAGGAGCACTATACGTAAACATAGTGTTGTGGCTTGTGGTTGTTGCAAGGTGTTAACGTGTCCCATCTTATGCTTGTTATGTGAATAAGTCAATATAGAGAAAAGGAATGCACTTGTTCTTAGCCGAGACTGTCCGCCATTTTGTTGTCTTCCTGACTTGCTACGCCAGATATCACCGACCTCCAAGAAATTTGTTCTTTATTTACCGTTATTTGTGTTGTTCACGCATCTGTTACACCAATAAGTGACAGTAGATAGTTGTTGCTGATGGTGGTAGTGGTGATGGCGAGCTGCGCACCTCCAGCAGTAAGCAGCGCACTCCTGGCCCCGCCCTCAGTCATGCACCGCCATGCAACTCTCCTTATCGATCTTCCCTTCCTCCCCTACACATACTTCCTTCATTATCTTCTTAACCGACCGTCATCTTACTCACCACCTACAATTCACCTCAACATAAATACACTCCGGTAACGAAAAATAACAACACAATAACGTAATATAAATACTTCTGAGCGGCCATGAAGACTTGGGACCGTCTCAAGCTCTGAGGTGTCGCCATGTTTTACCATTTCCTTTACCATCTTTCCTCTTACACAAATATCTACTACTACACAAAACAATATTGTATCCGCTAACGAAACAACAAAATAAATTACTTATAACCATTTCAAGGTGATTGTTGGAGGCAAACCACAGTCTTGTGCCCGACGTCTCCTGATAAACATATTCTAGTTTCTTCTCACACAACATGTAAATATATGATGCCACACGAAACTAGTCACTCCGATGGCGAGACAACACGATTTTATACACTTAATAAATATTCCTGAATGTTTATGAAGCAAAGCATTAAATTATTAAGTCAATGGTCACAGTTTCATCGCGTTCCCTACTGCCCTTCACCACACAAAGTCCTACTGTTAGATGAACCTCATTTTGTACTCCAGAAGACACGATTGAAATTAACTAATTCGTGATGCACCGTTGGCATATCCCCTCGTCAGCTGCGACGCCCCGCTTAATAATTAATATTACCAGGCACGAAGCTCATGTAATAGTGATATTATATATGCCAGCTTATAGTCACCGCCCTGCTCCCCTCACACACCACAACCAACGCTTTTAAGTTATAGCCATTATTGTCAATTCGTTTCCAATATGGCGAGGGAGAGTTAGTGAGTGCATGGAGACGAGAACACCTGGTGTGGCGCTGGGTGTGTGTGGATCAGCCACCTAATCCATGTATCCATATATTCCGTATTACCTATTTGTTGTCCGGCGGATAGATGGTTGAGGAGGCGAGTTGTGTAACACACCTCGTGGAGGAACTGTCACGACTCTCCTTCCCCGGTAGACGCTACTAGAAAGGGGGTCAGGGGGTTCTTGGGGTGTGGGGGTGTGGCGCAGCTTGTCTCGGACAGGCGGGGGGTGGGGGTGCGAGGGGGTCTCTCTTAGTGTGGGAGGCGGGGATATCAAGGTGTAGATAGAAGAGAGAATCGTCAAGAATCAATGTCGCAATGAACAAATTAGTTCAGGTACAAAATAATTAACTGACCTCCATATAATACACTCAGGTAATAATTATCACTACTGCAAAACGGCGATGAAATTTTTATACTAACCAAAGTTGCCAGTTGTAACAGTCAAAACCACCACGGAGACACACTACTAATATTGCACAGGGCAGATGGAGGGACATACACGATGGCAGAAATCACAAGAACGACGTTGATTGAACATTATACAATACAGCATTACTCAAGTCGATCCCCGGATGTGATCATAAGATATGGTGAATGTGAGTCAGCTGTGAAACACTCTTTACACAAACACCCACCCGCACACACACACACACCCGCGCAGCTGCACTGAGATATACTGTACACACACCTGACCACAGTTGTTATCATTAAAAGAAAACAAATTACAAGTGGGTGTCAACATTACTATAAACTCAGTAAAGAGAACTCACTTCAGCACTTCAATAACAAGGTACATATAACGACCCTTAAGTTACACAGTTATTAATACAGTATTCAGACTAAGACATCACAGCCACGTTTCCATCATCACTTGGGAATTACTATCTATACCCGCAACAGTAGCTATTAACTCTTCAAAGCAAGGTTCACATCACAGCCACACTAATTCCACAACAAACTGTATATAACCAGTTCCAGTAGGTTGTAACAGCACTTCTAATTAAAGACCATAACTATCCATATGGAGGTAATTACTACACCTGTATGTGGATTATCTTTATATCTGTAATAATAATAATAATAATAATAATAAACTAACTCTGAATTATATTGTCAAGTCTTGGTTATTGATTACTGTGGGTGACTCGAGTGTGCACATAACACAGGTTGTACACATGGCGTTATTGTAAGTTGTGTGTACGTAAGAGGTCGTTCACATGAATTACTTGTATGATGTGTGCACGTAACTAAGGTCGTCCACATAGTTATTGTACACTGTGTGCACATAAACAGGATCCGACACATGTTCACATGCACTGTACACACACACCAAGCACAATTAGCAGAATAAGCATTACCAGGAATGGTCAACAACCAAAATAAATTACCAGGGATAGTTACCTGGTATAGTTAACAGGTAGAATAAGTTACTGGGGATAGTCCACAGGGAGAATAGGGTAACAGGGGTAGTTAACAGGTATAATAAATTACTAGGGATAGTTAACAGGTAGAATAAGTTACCTGGACTAGGTAACAGGTAGAATGAGTTACCGGGGTCTTAACAGGTAGAATAAGTTTTCAGGTATAGTCAACAGGTAGAATGGGGTAGCAGGGATAGTTAACAGGTAGAATATGTTACCAGGTAGATAGTTAACAGGTAGAATAAGTTAACTGGGATAATTAACAGGTAGCTTAAGTTACCAGGGACAGTTAACAAGTAGAATATGTTTCCAGGTAGATAGTTAACAGGTAGAATATGTTACCAGGAATAGTTAACAGGTAGAATAAGTTACCAGGGATAATTAACAGGCAGAATAAGTTACCAGGAATAGTTAACAGGTAGAATAAGTTACCAGGAATAGTTAACAGGTAGAATAAGTTACCAGGGATAGTTAACAGGCAGAATAAGTTACCAGGGATAGTTAAGAGGTAGAATAAGTTACCAGGGATAGTTAACAGGCAGAATAAGTTACAAGGGATAGTTAACAGGCAGAATAAGTTACCAGGGATAGTTAACAGGTAGAATAAGTTACCAGGGATAGTTAACAGGCAGAATAAGTTACCAGGGATAGTTAACAGGCAGAATAAGTTACCAGGGATAGTTAACAGGTAGAATAAGTTACCAGGGATAATTAACAGGTAGAATAAGTTACCAGGAATAGTTAACAGGTAGAATAAGTTACCAGGGATAGTTAACAGGTAGAATAAGTTACCAGGGATAGTTAACAGGTAGAATAAGTTACCAGGGATAATTAACAGGAATAGTTAACAGGTAGAATAAGTTACCAGGGATAGTTAACAGGTAGAATAAGTTACCAGGGATAGTTAACAGGTAGAATAAGTTACCAGGGATAGTTAACAGGTAGAATAAGTTACCAGGAATAGTTAACAGGTAGAATAAGTTACCAGGGATATAGTTAACAGGTAGAATAAGTTACCTGGATAATTAACAGGTAGAATAAGTTACCAAGAATAGTTGATGTAGAATAGTTTACCAGGATAGTTAACAGGTAGAATAAGTTACCAGATAGTTAACAGGCAGAATAAGTTACCAGATAGTTAACAGGTAGAATAAGTTACCAGATAATTAACAGGTAGAATAAGTTACCAGGGATAGTTAACAGGTAGAATAAGTTACCAGGATAGTTAACAGGTAGAATAAGTTACCAGGAATAGTTAACAGGTAGAATAAGTTACCAGGGATAGTTAACAGGTAGAATAAGTTACCTGGAATAGACGACGTGGAGCAGGAGTGGTGCGGAACGTACTGTGAAGAGCCTGGAGAACGAGGGGAGACTGAGATGGGCAGGAACGTGTCTGGCTGGGTGGCCTGCACGTTGCCACCACCGCTCCCTGCGCGCCCACAACCTGTAGGAAACCTTTTGTTAATGCCAGTGATTTTCCGGATACCTAACACAGGTCTTCATTCCTCCCTTCCCCCAGGATTTTTAAAATGTCTGTTTCAATACTGAGGTTGATTGATCTGTCAGATAGTCTCGAATGAATAAAAAAATATATTTTTGAGTAATGACGTTACTGTATATTCCAAAAATGCGTATAGTCTGGTGATGTACTCAAAACAGGCTCCCGTGAGATTTGTTTGCCAAAATTGTTTTTCTATTTTTACATTCATCTTTATGGTACCAGTAAACAGAATAATACGGGTGGCAATTTTCCTTTCCACTATTAAGGGTTACTAGCATATATGCATGTGTTTTAATGTGGTGTCTGCAGCCTCAGCAGAGATCATAATCACTGCGAGTGGCACGAAATGCAGAGAAGGTCAAGAGTTGTGTTAAACAGCAGCACTGTCAAGGAAATCCATTTGCTTTGGACCTGAAATTAATGAATGTCATGTCAATGATGGCCATACCAGATGAAGCAAAAGACGAAATCCTGAAAATGAGACCAAAAAGTACAGTCTACTGTAAGAGGAGTTCGTGACAGACAGACTACTTACTACATCTCAGATGTCTATTTGCGATCCAGTGGTAAAACTAAAACTGAAAACGCACAGTACACGTATGAAGAAAACAAAAAACAGTGTTAGCAGTAAAACTGTCAAACTTCGGGAAGACAGACAACTTCTTGCTCTGTTCCTAGTCATTCAGCAGTCTCGTCCACAACTAATGCCTTTGATTGAAGAGACAATAAACAGATATGAGATAGCAGTAACTCCTAGATCTTTGTTTGCGAGTGACGGAACACTGTTTATCCCAAAAGAAAACAGTTCTTTCGTGAAGGAAATTGAAAACTAAACACCAACACCGCCTGATGCAGATAAACAACCTTCTAGTAGCTTAAACTACCAACAGCTGGAAGCACAAGTAAGTGATACAACCCTGCCTGTAACTGACAATGAAGACCCTGTAGTGGATACAACTGTGTCTGACCAGCCGATCCCGAGGCGAGTTTCAGGAAGCTCCTGTCATTCCGGTTAGTAGCGACGTTCACTTACGGCGGACTTGGATATATATACCCCCAGCCTCGCCGTAAGCAAAACAAAGATAAAACACCAATAGGAAAGGTGAAGCGATCTGGTTGAGCCCAGATTCTTTCTACTCCTACTGTATTTCAGTTTCATCACCTTTCCTTCAATCCCTAATAATCTTCTTTCACCTCATAACTCATGACTCCAAAGCCAAAGAAGAGAATTCTACCGATGCTCTCAAACAAACAAGACCTCCTCTCAACAAGCTCCTCACCACACAGCAACTCCCTAGCACTGCATTGTACATACAATATATATGTAGAAAACGCCATAGAGAGTTCTTCACCTCCATCCTAGTGCGATCCTACATCACATTAACCCCACAATGGTGACCCCGGAGTAACGCACTCACACAGGATGGATGAGAAGCGGATCACTCTGCCTCCATATGGAGGCAGCTCTCATCGGTTCTACAGCTACAGACGAACAGAAGTACGTCGCCGTGGTCTGTTCCCTGCCCACAGAAGTCGCCACGCAAGTTGCAGAAGTCATCACTAAGCCCCCAGATGACAACAAGTTCACAGCTCTACGAGATGCTCTCAAGAGGCGATACCAGCGGCCTGACACCAGTCTCCTGCAAGACCTATCCGGTCTCTCCCTCAGCAACTCAACGCCAGCACGTCTGGACGAGATGCAGACTGAACTCCCACATAGCATTCCTGACACTATCCTGCGCCAGCTTCACACTCAGAAGCTCCTTGCAGAAGTTCGCCTCGCCCTGGCATTGGGATCACTCTACTACCTCGGCGACGTAGCCACACGCAGACAGAGTATTCCACGAATACACTGCTGTGCGCCATGCTGCCGCGAACAACTCGGTGGCCACACCATCACTTAGCTCCGGTTTCGTCAACCAGATCAACGCTCCTTAGAAGTAGCATTCCACCAGACAAACAAGACATGAGGACCTGGTTAATTCTACACCGCAGATGGACACCCTGAGCAGCTCTACCCTGCCATGCTGCTGATCCTGCCCCTGACCCACACACTGTGTCCTACCGACCCCGACAGCCCCGTCCCGCCTTAGACGCCGCCGCCGGCTCCCAACACAGTGTACCTACCTTATGTTGGTACCATCAACGTCTTGGGCACGTTAGATGCTGTGAGGCTCCCTGCAACTTCACGAGGAAGCGACGTCGATGGGGATTGGTAAACGCCACAACCTCCGTCACTTCAGGTGTCTCACCGCTGCA